ATCACCGTTCGTTTGGGTTATCTGGAGCCTGAGAAAGGATCTGAGGCGTCAATTACGTGTACTATCGTGATCTTGAGACTTAGCATCAAGATATTTGCCTACCACATATTATATAATACTGGACTAATTTACTACTATTTAACTCTTCTTAAAGAAATATTGATGAAATCAGTAAATAAACGTAGCAACATATATTATTTCGTTTAAATAAAATATGCTAGCTATAGTTACAAATATGAAATCTATACGACCTTCTTCCTATTCAAAGCCTTGTAAAAAATATGCTAGCGTGGCCTTAATTGGCTTGCTGTGCACGATCCACTCATCCTGAATCGTGTACTGCTACAATCTCTGCAATAGTCATCGACATATGTACGCCTCAGCGGGCGCTAATGAAACAACCTCTGCGATCCACCAAGCCAACGCCTCTGCCTAAAGAAGCAGCCTTCCCTTCCTTCCCTCTCGAAGCCGCGAGGTCTCTACAACTGCCCTCCCTCGAAGGTCTGCCCGAACTGCCACCCGGCGGGCGCGACGTTGTAGCTGGTGACCGTGCTCCCGTCGCCGGTCGTCACCTGGAAGGAGAGGCTCTGCCCGTCGAGGTAGGAGTTGCTCTGCCAGTTCTGGCCCCAGTTGCGCGACATGCTCTGCCACCCTGTCTTGGACCCCTTGATCGACACCGCGTGCACGTCGCCGGCCCCGCCGACGTTGGTGATCAGCACCAGGTTGAAGTAGGAGTGGCCGTTGACGGTGAACCTTATGCCTCCCTTCCTCACGCAGGGCACCCTGTGAGACAGCAGCAACGATGCGCCATGAGAAGCTTTATATAGGCATGTCTGCTTCAAGAGCGGCGGAAAGTCGCACACCTGCGGAAGGAGACGGGGACGATTCCGGCGCGGTACTGAGCGATCTGGAGGAAGGCGGGCTCGGCGAGGTCGAAGTGCTGCAGGGGAGGGTTGCACCAGCCGCCGTTGTCGTTGGGAAGGGCGTAGTTGGGGGGGCAGAAGTTGGTGGCGGTGACGACGACGGAGCCCGGGAGGCACCACTGGGGATTGTCGGCGCACCGCATCTCGTAGCAGGCGCCGCAGCTGAGCCCGTTGTCGAAGAGCGCGGTGCTGAGGGCGGCGGTGTTGGTCCCGTAGCCCTGGCCGTAGAGGTTGCCGTAGCCACAAGCCCCTCCTGCGGCATCAACCAACCGAGCCACCTTAAGATGCACGAGAGATATTCGAGGTAATTCCAGCAAACATAATGGAGAGATATTGGAGACGTCATGCATACCCATAGTGCCGGAGGCGTCGCCACCGCCGTAGAACGTGGCATGGGCGTTCCGCCATCCGTAGGAATCCGCGAGGGCTCCTGATAGGAAGAAGCACAAGGAAGGCAGTGAGAAGAAGAGAACATGGTAGAGGGAACACTTTGGCAAAGCCATTGAGCGAGCAGATGGCAGAGAGAAAGAGGGGAACTTGCGGCGGCGCTTGTGGCTGTAGTTTGGGTTATGAAGAGAAGGGGAGGGGAAGGAGGATGTATTTATAGTGGCTAAGGAGAGGTGTGTGTTCTCTCTTCTTCCTCCGAAGAAGAGACAAGTTGGCTGCTTGCCGTGGGTCATCGTAAGTAGTGGTCAGGGCATGTGGGTCCTCCCACCCACATGCATCCCCTTCTCTCCCCTACGTTACGATGACGATAGAAATCCAAGTTAGATTTGCCCGATTCATGTTTGCTTGGAACCCCCTCAATCCAAATCCAACCTCTAGAAATGCTAGATTGGTGTGTGAAAACCAACCGTTGGAGGTGGTAACTATTTTTGGAATTTCTAAAATTAATATTATTAAATATTTTTATTTAAAGAAGTAAAACGAAAAATATGTTCAATAAGAATTTATCTATCTATTTTTATGTTTTAAAGAAGTAAAACTAAAAATAGTTTTCCTATAGTAGATTAGGGAAATTGAGATTTTGTTTTTCTTATATAGGATATATTGAGAAAATAAATTATCTTCCTTATTTCTTATATTTGATTTTTTTCGAGTACCTATTTCACATAAATCTTGAATCAATTATTATAAATAACGTGAAGAATAATCTACACTTAGCAATCATCTCAGTGCTCTAATGATTGGCACCCCACCAACAAGTGGGTGGGCAATCATTTGGGCATGAATCATTGGTATCTATCTAACTTTGATCTCTTTATCATTAGATAACTATTAATATTCTTTTCCCAATTGTACTTAGTGTATTGTTGTTAGTTAGGTCTTTTTGATTGTTCAGAAAAGAATGGTCTTTGTTTAACAAAAATGATGGTGTCTGAGGAATGATGTTAGCCTTATGGTTAGATAGTTTGTCAAATATATCTTCATATATATAAAGATATAAAAATATTTCTTTAGGTGGAGGTGGATGTGCTACATTGTTAAGTATTTGACCTTTGCCACTAGTATATTCCTAAAACATATTAACACATAAACAATGTGAAAAGTTGTACTTTAACCTCCTTTTACATCTCAAGGTTGATAATCAATGTGGTTATAGAAATTTCTTTTCCTATTTTATTTTTTTTATCTTTGTTAATCAAATTTGTGATAAGTATAGAAAGAAAATTAAGTTTCATTAGATCAAGGATTCAAGTTAGTTAATAAACTAACATAAAGATTATTTATTTATTATTCTTATATTATCAGCTTATTTGAATTTAAAGTTATATTTTTTATTCTTTTATAATTAAAAAGTGAAAAGATATCATTTCTTAACAATCTTTTTGTCATCACCCATCATTTTATAACCATAACTACCATCAAATTTATTATTATCATTAACATGAATGCTATACCTACTATGCTGAATTATTATTGACACCACAATATAGACATGACGAAGCATTTTTAATATGTTTGTTTTTATTCAATGAAAGTGATAGATGAACATTGAATCTTCACTTATATACCATCAAGATGTCCTTTATATACAATCACTCGACTTATTTTTTAAGAGTATTTTGTGTTGTGTATAAAATCTATTTATATTATGTTGCTCGTGATTCTAATTCTTTTACCTCTTCACGTGTGATGATGATATGTTATCAACTTATTTGTTTTTTATTATGTGTGGATCTTTAATGGATTATAATAGTTTTGATTATTATCTATCTACTTATCTCTATCTTCATCTTCATTATTGTCACAACATAAAATATTTTTATTATATTAAATGATGCACATGGATGGACTAATCGACTCGGATATCCCGACGAAAACACGACACTATCATCGTTATTACTATTTAATTTGGTATCATAATTAATACCATTATCTAATGTCATCATAATTATAACTCCATTCACTCGGTTTCAATTACATGACTTTATTAGTGCACCTAAATTGGGGACACCTCTATAGCAAAGCTGTTGCCCCCTCCGAAACCTAAAATTAGCACCGGTGTCCACCTCCACATGGGTGCCTGTACTCATCATTCTAAGAAGCTTCAAACCCTTCTTCCATGGAGGGTGAGATCCACACGCACACCCCCACTGTTCTTTAGCACTTGTCATCTCCTTTGGACCCTATCTATCTACCTCTGAAAGCAACCTCTCTTCAACTCAATTGTGTTCTGATCCACCCACTTTAGACACCGTCGTCTGTCCTTCCACCTCTCTTCAACCATCCATTATCCAAAAAAATAACCTTACAATTACAGACTATTGATCGTAAATCAGATGACTGTCTCTTCGTAAAAGAAAAAAATCAATTCCATTACAAAACAAAATCTCAACTCAAAAGTGGAGTTTTAATCTTCCAACATATCATGCATGTCTCGCGGGCTATACTCGTAGGCTTAGGCGTGAGTCGGTCCATAGAAGTTGACGTCTCCGGTGGTGGGCTCCACCACCACCACCACCGAGGAGGAAGGAAAGCCACGTGAAACAGTGCAAAAGTCCGACCCGAGTTCGATAGAAAGATGCAAAGGATTCGTCGGAGGACATAAGACTCACGTGCATGGCATGTGGGGTTTGGATGAACTCATTTTATCTTAGAAATACACGTAGTAAGTCAACATGATCGAACCGGTCAACACCAACTTCACGACTGTAGCACTGCTTGACGCGAGTCAATTCTGCCACGTTTCTCTCGCCGCAATTATTTGTGTTGCCATCGTCACGTGCTTAAAAACGACAAAGCTACGGTACGCTGTACAATCGTACGGAGAGTGCCTCGAGACAAAGACTATGGGTAATTTTGACCCGTTCGTGCCCAACTCCAACACGTAATTGACGTCACGCGCTCCTCGTCACGTGGTGGGTCATATTTGAACTTTACATTAGGTAAATTGATATCAATTAATATTTTCTATTTTCTATTTCTTTCTAATTTCCTTGGATTTTTTTTACCATCAAGAAATAGATTTAGATTCTTTAAACATGTTTATATAATAATAATAATAATAATAATAATAATAATAATAATAATAATAATACAACATAAAAGCTAAATGAATAAACAAAAAAACTATATCAAATCATTTTTATTAAACAAAGACCTAACTAACAAGACTCCAATTGCAATTGGGTAAAGTCCAAACCCCACAACATGCGATAAGAAATATAATTAGCTGAGGACTATGAGTGTAACATTCCTGATTAGTCCCACATCAAAAGTGGACAAGATTAAGATTGACTTATAAGGGTCTGATGAGTCTACTACGTTAACTTCAGCTTAAGCATTTTGGTCAATGGTTTAGATCAAACGAAGTTGATAGACTAGTTAGCTCGCCCGAGTAATAATAATGAGGCCTTGAAATATAAACAAAGAATAATAATGAGGCCTTGAAATATAAACAAAGATGTTGTTACGCACACAAGATGGAATTGCTTGTTTACTATGATCTAATGCTGCGGAGAAGGAAGGTCGAGAGACCAATGATTACTTGTCGGTAGTGTCAATCATCATCGGATTACTGAGAGGAACACACGACGACGTCACCTCTACTCGACTAGTATAAATGGATCCTTCCTTCTCTTCGTAACCCAAACGACAGCCGCAATTCCGCCTCTTTTCTCTCTGTCACCTGCTCGCTCAATGGCTATGCCAAACTGCTCCCTCTACCATGTTCTCTTCTTCTTACTTCCTTCCTCGTGCTTCTTCCTATCGGGAGCCCTCGCGGAGTCCTACGGATGGCGGAACGCCCATGCCACGTTCTACGGCGGTGGCGACGCCTCCGGCACTATGGGTATGCATGACGTCTCCAATATCTCTCCATTATGTTTGCTGGAATTACCTCGAATATCTCTCGTGCATCTTAAGGTCGCTCGGTTGGTTGATGCCGCAGGAGGGGCTTGTGGCTACGGCAACCTCTACGGCCAGGGCTACGGGACCAACACCGCCGCCCTCAGCACCGCGCTCTTCGAAAACGGGCTCAGCTGCGGCGCCTGCTACGAGATGCGGTGCGCCGACGATCCCCGGTGGTGCCTCCCGGGCTCCATCGTCGTCACCGCCACCAACTTCTGCCCCCCAAACTACGCCCTCCCCAACGACAACGGCGGCTGGTGCAACCCTCCCCTGCAGCACTTGGACCTCGCCGAGCCCGCCTTCCTCCAGATCGCTCAGTACCGCGCCGGAATCGTCCCCGTCTCCTTCCGCAGGTGTGCGACGTTCCGCCGCTCTGGAAGCAGACATGCCTATATAAAGCTTCTCATGGCACAACGTTGCTGCTGTCTCACAGGGTGCCCTGCGTGAGGAAGGGAGGCATAAGGTTCACCATCAACGGCCGCTCCTACTTCAACCTGGTGCTGATCACCAACGTCGGCGGGGCCGGCGACGTGCACGCGGTGTCGATCAAGGGGTCCAAGACCGGGTGGCAGAGCATGTCGCGCAACTGGGGCCAGAACTGGCAGAGCAACTCCTACCTCGACGGGCAGAGCCTCTCCTTCCAGGTGACGACCGGCGACGGGAGGACGGTCACCGGCTACAACGTCGCGCCCGCCGGGTGGCAGTTCGGGCAGACCTTCGAGGGAGGGCAGTTGTAGAGACCTCGCGGCTTCGAGAGGGAAGGAAGGGAAGGTGGCTTCGGCTTGTTTCGAGGAGCTTTGGCCTGGTGGAAAGAACTGTTCATATTGTTATCATATTGTTGATGTAATCAAACTACTAGACGAATAAAAGGTTAAGAGGCGATAAAAGCTCCAAGATTGTTCGAACCCTATAAATAAACTGTTTTTTTTTATAGCGTCTGGGAAGAGGGACCAAACACGAGAGGAGAGCCTTCCGTTGCTTGTCAGCCATGTGCCCCACCTGGGCCCACGGTGCTTTTCGTTGGGGCCTGCGGCTGATGACCAATGGTAGTGCCGAGTCCCGTGTTTGGTATCTCGGTCAAGACACAGGTGTCCCGCCCGCAATCGCATACAATTACAAAATCGCTGGTTCAGATGGAACAGAAAGTCTGTTGAGGAAAATAATATCACAAAACAACGCCGAACACAATAAATAATGAGGCTAAGATAGATAATTTGTTTGTGCCATAAGTGTGAGACCCTCCCAATTCCATTACAACACAGAAAACAAATCAATATTACACATTGTGAAAATCCAACACATAATGCACCCAAATCTTGAAGCTTGACAGACAGACCAAAGAAGAGAAAATATTACACTCCTGGGATCTTTAGTGAACAAGTTCAGATTAGTAGAATGACTGGAATAAATATATAGAATGACATGGATGCAGCAGGAGGATGTCAAGCTAGTGGATGTACTAAATGTGGTGCTCGTTGGGCGGCTGACCTTGTTAGAAGTTGCTGCTGCTTTCACTGACGGATACCGAGGAACTCTCTGACTTCACAACATGAGAACCTTTGTTGATGTCCAATCCCTGAAGCCTCCCGAGGGGATCTTGCTGGAACACGTCGGGAAGGTTATTAGGGTGAATGAGCATTTGGTGAGCCGAGATGCCAGATTGTGGCTGCTGGAACTGGTGCTGCAGCTGGATAGCTTGGTGGTGCACCGCCGGCTGTTGGGGAAGTGTGAAGAATGATGGGCTGTAATGCATGTTTTGCAGACCGACGTCGTATGTTTCATCAGGTTTTGATATTTCACCAGTCGCAAGCTTCAGTCTTTGGACTTCCTGCTTTAGTGCCTCGTTCAGTGCTGCAAGGACACAGCAAAGTGCATCATGAAGCATGTTTTACTGTGAAAATGGGCTCACACATTTCAGTGCTTTCTGTTCCTTGGAATGAAATCCACAACAAATAAACTTACAATAATGACAATAACATTCTATTTAGCCGCTGGGCAACAAAGATATACATATGGTGGCCTGATAGAGGGAAGGCTTGAGGCCACAAATGAATGCACTTGCTTCAAAATGGAAACAAATATCTAAAAGTAACAGCTCACGATTAATTCATTCTTTGCCCCATGATTAAAGACAAGCATCATATGTACTATTATAGCATGTTCAATATACAAAAGGCTGAAAATATTAATTTGGTTATGTAAAACAAAAGAACTAGATTCCAAATTTCAACAGCGATAGATCAGGTTCACATTAATGGTCATCAACGTAATTTTTGAAATAGTTCCAATAAAGGTTGGCACAACCCCGAGGCAAGTATGTTCCCAGAGCCACAAGCCAAGAAAAGAAAAAAAAAAAACGATTAGGAGCGTTTAAAGCATTCTTCTAAGGTCAAACACCAGTCTGGCTCAGCCAATCTAAAGATGGGCAGCTAATAAGCACAATATAGAAGACAAAAACATATGAAGTGGAGCTATTTGTTTCCACTGAACCTAGCATGAATTCTCCTGAAAAGTTTGCTACTAAGTCATTGCGTCTGTTTATTATGTCTTGGTCTTTTCAAACCTTATGGCCCTTCAGCGAGAGTAATGATCCTAGTGACAGCAAAGCTAGCTCAAACTTTTGCTGCATCCTTCACTAAATGCTACTAGTTTCTAGATTTCTCATTGCCTTTCAATCTGAAGTTATGCACCTAGTTGAATTTTAAAAATTACACTACATGATAGTGTCAGAGTCAGAGTCTACGCCAAACATTTTTTTGTAAGGGATTTTAATGCCCAGACCCATGATGGAAGTTAAACCACTAACAAGGTTAGGTTCTGTTACTTAATGTCAACTAACTGGACCCAGCAAAATGTTCAACTGATTGGCAAAGAGCAGTGAAAAAAGAGAATATCTTACCCTCAGGAGTTTTCAAATGCCATGACAAAGGTAATAACTATGTTAAAGAAAATTTATTAAGGTCAATATGATGCTCAATCAACCAGATATTTCCAAAGGAATAAAAGAGTTAAAAGTACAATCTATTAGGTTGTATATCTCTATGTACAACCAAATGTTTCTAAAACAGAGAACAACCATCAATCCAGAGCTAAGCATCCAATTAAATAATTTCCCCATGACATTCTTCCCAAGCATTATCAGACGACATTGAAACAAGTTTAAAGTGTAGTTCTCTTGGCTAAAATATTGATTAAAAATAAAACAAAATTGAGCAAGACATCGAATTTAGGTTGGCCATATTATGTTTGTGTGCTTGAAAGGCAACCAACATAAGACTCTATTGTTTCTGTAATATTTGGAAATTACATACATAGAGGACTATGTGCATGTTAGATGGCTAGAATCAAAATATTTAAGTTCTATGTTGTTGGTATATATTGCGCATACTTAGAGCCTTTAAACCCAAAAGTTTTCCAAAGACGATCAAATAGCTTTGCTGTTCAGTTGAGTGATGAACTAAATAACTGATTCATGTTGATTGGTTTACAATGTAAACATATTTCTTCCATTTGGAGAAGATATGTTACTATTGCATTTAAGGACTCGTTGGACAAAACAGAAATTAAATAAACTGCTTACCATCACGTAATTGAGCTTGTTGTTCCATAGCTTGCAGCCGTAGCTTAAGCTCAGCATTCTCTGCAGAAAGTCCAGTTGTGTCTCTCTAAAAGAGAAAGCAACAAACAGTGAAGGATCAAATTTTTAGCATCAAAATTTATCATTTCAGATTGAGGTTAGCAGTAATGAAACACATAATACTTTCAGAAGACATCAACTAAACACAACTAGGCTCAGTTAGGATCATAAATGAACCCATCCATCAGAAGACATGGATAATATCACACAAGTGAATCACGAATCAACTAAAATTATCACTCTCATCATCAAGAGGGAAATATTTAACAAAAATAATGTGTGAAAGAATTGGGCACATAGCAACACAAAGTCATAAATGAGCTTAAGAATTTAAGTAGGGCTTTGGAACTGAAAATACGCTCAATTTTATGCTATCCACGAACTATGACCAAGGGAACCACTGGTTTTAGACTAATTTCCTTGAATCTTTAAAATTTGTCAGTTGCAAGAGACATTTAGAAGTAATGATATAATTAAATCCTCCAAATATTTCCAGTGGTACTTATATTAATATGGACTAAATATTTGATTAGCACGGACCTGATATAGGGTGAGCTGCGCAGAGAGAGTTGTCGCTTCAGTTTGGAGGGTCTGAACTTTCCTCTCGAGTTCTGATATATAACGGGCCTTTCTTTCTTTGGAGCGAGCTGCAGACTGTCGATTAGCTAGAATTCTGCATAATGAGACATATCAAATAAATCAAAAAGATTACAGAAACATTGGAGATATGATGATAGTACCAAGAACTACATGAGAAGATGCATTGATGTTAAAATAAATGTTGCAACTGTAGATAATGGTATTGGCAGAATTAAGAGCTTTACGTTCTTTGAACTTAGGATCTATAGGCAAGTTACTTGGAAGTACATTTTGTTTAACAAGTCTTCCTCTCTGAGGGAGTACTCAAGAGAGGAGCCCATCAAGGAAGAAAGAACCCATATATCGAGATTATGTTTCAAGAAATGAAATCACATAGCTTAATGGACATGCAGATTAACTTAGAAGTTTGTCCAAATAATCCTTAAAATGCAGCATATTTTCTAATAGTTAGTATAGAGAAAATGCATCAGCTTATAGTTGAATAATTTTACTGACATATCTGATGCAATTCTTCTCTTGATTGATTAAAAAATATTTCTTTATAATTTATAGATGCTCATGCAGCAAATGCTTATAATAGTAGATACTGAAAAATATCTTACAAAGAAGGGTCTGATAAAGAACTAGAGGCAGCTAAAATTAGTGGTAAGACTTGCTAATCATTGACATGAGGGGCTAACACTGAGTATATATAACGATTCCATTTTGGTGTGAAAATAAAAAAGATAGAATAATGATAATGTGACTTGAACCATAATTTTGCTTCAGGATAGCCACATTTATAGGAATATGATATGCTGTCGCTTTTATTAACCCTCAAGTATATGTCAAAGCACAAGGACTCGATGCCAATATCCTAAATTGAGAAACTTCCAACAGTATATTCTAGTAAGCTAAGAACATGGTGTGGAATATTTAAAATCTGAAACAATTATGTTTGGATATTAATGAACCCACTTATTGGTAGTTCTTCCATCTTAAAGAGTGTATCTGATGGTTCACAGAGGATTGTCGTGTCAATCTTAACATATAAAAGCCAGCTGGTTAGCAATATATTATAATTGATTCCAGCCAATACAATAATGCAGGGTGCCAACAAAAAAAAAAACAAGGCTAGCTTCAAGATCTAATATGGTAGGACCATTCAATCATCCACCTTTTACAAAAAAGCAAGTCCTATTAGGCACCACGCAGCAGAATCTTTGTGATGACATGGAGTATTAAGCATCCAGTGTCTTTATTTTACGGCAATATTTTCAGCCGGTGGTTAGAGTTAGTTCAAACAAGTATGTTGTTTGACACAGAGTCTAAACTTTAAAAGAATATGCAACACAGAAACAATGCCCTAAGATATTAGATGGTCTATGAATCAGGAAAGAGGTCAATCTATCTGCTGGAATGTTAATAACAACCAAGAGTTTTAGAACAACAAACAAAATTGCAACTTTATTTTAATAACTTCTATCAGAAAGTTTAGATATCCTAACAGAGAGCTTAGTCCAAAATCCGATATTTACCTATTTGCATTTGGGGTATGGATCATTAAACATCCATCAAGGTCAAACAGTAAACTCAAACATGATACCTGAGCTTTTGCATATCCCAATCACATGCAACAATTCGTCATTTCTTGAATGCATAGTTCATTTGTAAACTCACATAATCCACATGGAGAGAAGGATTTAAGTTCGGAGTTCCTTCAAACACACTCGGAGTACTTGAGAGCTCACTACAAACTCTAAGAAGGCCAGGCCAGAACTCCAAACAAGGTGAACATTGCAAGCATCCCGCTTAAATTTTCAAAATGTTAAAAAATTTTCTTCCTAACTTTTTTGAACAGCTACTTTCTTTTTATTCATTAATGACAGAAAAAGAAGAATCATGGAAACAAAAATGCTGATGCAAACTCAGAGATTAAACGATGAAGCTCAAATACACCAAGATAAAGACCTACAGCAAACAGCATAGAAAGACAGAATAAAGAAATTAATTTTGTTTAAGAGAAACTATAAGGGTTTTCACCTTTTAGCTCGCTTAGGATCAATGACGGCCAGCTCCGCAAGCTGCCCAGGCGTCATGGCCTTCTTGGCTTCCATCACCTCTCCGAACACTCCCTCCCTCTTCATCGTCGCTGACGACGTCATTGAAGATCCATCCACTGAACTGCTATGTCGATGCTTGGGCTTCGAAGCCGCCGCTCCGGAGGCATCGCCGATCTTCCTCTCCTCGCCACATCCGGAGCTCTCCGCCGCCGGATCCGCGCAGTCTCCGCCCTCCGACCCGGACGCGCTGGCCTCCAACTTGCACCCGATCTTCTCAATGTCCATGAACGTGCAGAAAAGATCATCCTCAGAGCCGATCTCGTCGACGCTCCCGGCCGCCGCCATCGGATCGCCGCCGCCGCCGCCGCCGCGGACGTCGAGGTCGTCGGGAACACGGAATGCGAGCTCGGATCTGGCCCGCCGGTGGTGGGAGCCGCGCGGCAGGGCGCAGGGTGCGGGGTTGACGCCGGGCAACATGGAGGGCCGAGCTCCGGCGGCCGCTGCTGCTAAGGGGGCCGCATTGGGAGGGAGAACGCGGTTGGGGTCAGGGTTTGGAGACGGGGTCGGATCGGGGACTCGTGCTTGCATCGCGGGCTTCCTCCTCCTCCTCCTCCTCCTCTCGTACCCTCATAAGGAAGAGGGAGAGGAGACGGGGGGAGAAGGGAGAGCGAATGTAAAGAAAAGGGCGTCCCTGTGACTGTGTGTGTGTGAGGATTGGCCATCACGTGGGTTGGTACAAAACATAAAGACTGTTCGGCAGCGTTTTCCTGGTTCCGCGATACTAAATTTGTTTTAAAAAACAGATACTGAAAGCGATTTGATCCGAAGCGAAACCGCTGGATCCGCATACATCGAGGGCCAACTGTGGATTCGGGTCCGACAAAATGGGTTCGGGTCCCGCTAATGGGCATGGAACGAGGGGGTGGCACAGGGATTCATCCACGAGTAAGAACTTTAAGATTTGTGCTTTAGTGGGATCTATTGATGGCGAATGAAACATCTAAAATGGCGTTCATAATTGTAGTCGCGCTTAATCGAATTATATGAATGGAGCTCAATACTGTGGATGGAAACATGATGGTTAAGTCAATAATGTGGCCAAAACAAAGAATGAGGGTGACCTTTAAAATGCCATGAACGGTCCTTATCCGTCCTTGGATTGCTAAGACTGCATCGACGACAAGGACAAGTAATAACCACCATTCATCAAATGTAAGGTCACAGCATGCCGTAAGAATGATGCAACGATTATTTGGCTATCGTTGTCTTCAATCGTAGATAAACCGTAAAATAAAGACAAAAAAGATGGCCACTTTTTCCTGGATGATGAAGCTTTGGTACTGTGCAATACCATCATGATTCCTACGAAAAGATGCAGTTACAAATCTGACTGAAATATTTGTAGATATTATATAAGTCATACTTTCGACATTGTAGAAATGGACAAAACACAGGAAAAATAATCATCATTTTCCTTCTAATGCATTCTGTTAAGTTGCCGTAAGTATATGACTTGTGACCAATGTCAATGTTAATAGGGACAACATATTATAGAAGACAAAAAAGAGAATTTTTGAGTACTCAAAAGGCATCTCTCATGAGAAAACAAATTTGGGATAGAGAAGAACACAAACAAAATATACATGCCCATTTCATGCATCAAAAGCCGAGGTAGTGTGTAGCTATTACTCTCAACATAAGAAAAAAAATATCCTAACATCTTATTAAATGGAAAAAAATCCACTCCAGAAGCTTACGTTATGCTATTTACATTTTTAACAAACCTTCCTTCTCCTCGTCTACCAAGGCATGGGGGACATCGGATTGTCTTTTCTTCTGGAGCGCTTCTGCTCATCGAGTATAAATATAAATTACAGAGGCACCACTGAGAAGAGTAGTGACAGTTACTCGGATGAGTGATCAGATGAGGCGGCAGGCCCATTCTGTATGTCCTGATCTGATACAGAAGCAAGTTGCTCTTCCAACACATCAAGGAGATCAAGGTAATTATGGAATGAAGGATGGGACTGTAATATAATAAAAATGTTAGGAAGATACGACAATCGGAAAATTGCGGCACTAAAAGGAAATGAAGAGCAAGCTCAAACCTGAAGAGTTCTGCTGTATGCTGTCCACAAGCGCAAGTCATGACGGAAAAGATCAACCAGAACCTGGACAAATCATAATCAAGTAACAAAGTGCCATACTGAGAACAACTCAAATGCAAAAGCTCACTATTCTGCAATCAAGTAAATCTATGGAAACCATATGCGCTCTTCATTTAGGGTAATCAAATAGAAACTTCTACCCAAAGAGCAAATGCAGGCACATTAATTATAATTTTTATGGAACATCACGTAAAGGGAAATCAGAACAATTTTACAGATTAATATATTTATATATATGTTGCATGTTGTTGAAGATCAGATAGACTATGAATGGATGAAATGTCAGATATATCCGGGTCCGGATAGATGAAGATAGAAGTATTAACTTCACGTATACAACTACCGAGGATATTAATTCATGCAAGACTAACTCAAAATAGAGGTCACCCTGATAAATGCCAGGATATGTCCTTTTGTGATAATATGTCATAATATATTTTTGTGTCAATACTTCAAGCATCAACTTAACTGACCCGTTAATCAATAGAAACAGCAAATATTTAAAAATGTGCATCATGCTTAAAAGCTGGACATGACAAATTATTTCTCCATCCGAAGAAGGCAGAACAAGTAGGAACCTTCACAATCACCTTCAAAACAGGATACTAATTTCATTTCATGAGCATAAAAATTCATACTAGTAATGAAAATTAGAAGATCATCTGTCTTCTGGAAAAAAAAAACAGGTCATTACCAACTTGCATTGCCAATAGATTTCTTATTTTGATATATGAAAAGGATCAGATTTGAGAATTTTTAAGAATAAGCACAAGGGAACCGAAAGTAACTTTCAAAAGTGTTAATGACAACTATCATACAGCAGTGGAAAATAGCAAAACAATATGAGCAATTGTTCCCTATTCCTTTTATATTTGCACAGCTTTTACACAAGATCCAAGTTATAAGCTAAAGAATGGATCATGTATGGGTGACAAAATTACAACTACAGTAATACCTCTGCACGCCTCAAGAGAGTAGCTAAAACTACAATCCATTCCTTAAATTTAACAGAGCACATGTGTGCCAAGAGAAATTCAGCATCCAACCGACTTTGGAGGGTATCCATTTGGAGCTGTAGACGGAAAACATGTAAGCATCTCATAGAATGTATGTTAGCAGTTCAATAATTCTAACAGTAGCTCTTTACAACATTAACACTTTTACTTAAATTGCCATAATTAGGTAAACCCTGAAAACTTGAAACAGAAAAATCATCACAAATAAGATATGAATTTGAATATTAAATTAAATCAAAAGGAAATAGAGTATGAATCACTAAAAGATAAAGAAATTATTAAACTCTAACTGGACATGCAATTTTCAATCCCTTATGACTAATCTAGAACTAATCAAAATATTTCAGCTATTTTTCCACGAATGCTATCAACTGCAAGTGATGCTATTATGCTGCTGCAGATGAGCTTATGGTAAGTGTTTATGCATCTTATCTCTTCCATGCTTGATTTTACAAGGATATATAAATCATGTCTCAAATTCTATATTTATAACCTACAACTTCTTATATATGATTAACTCAATCTCTTCAGTTTTGGTGAATTTCTCTATTGTTTTGGATTAAAGAAATGCAGGCAATCAAACTGATCTTAGACAGCAAAATTGTCACGATGATTTGGTTGCATCATAACAGAGAACACTAAATCAAATCATGCATATTTGAACTTGTTATCAAGATGTAACGGCAGGCTGATCTAAAGAAATATGAATCCTGTAAGCATGTCAATGTGAGCTTTTCTCCTCTGAGTCTGACAATCAAAATATAAAGTAGCATTATAGAAGAAGTGACAAAAAAGAGAGTCTTGATTGAGTGGTTTTTCCAGATGCACTATGTAAGTCTGAGAGCCAAAACCTTCTGCCCAATCAGTTGAAGCCCTGAAGCAAAATTCTCCAAGCGAGCACTCCCCTGTCTTTCTCGCTGAAGATATTCCTGGAGTAAGTTGGGTATATTGAATTTTCAAGTACTCAAATGTATATATATAAAACATTAAAAGATAAAAGACTGAGAACCTCACCACCAGATCAAATTGTGTACCCTTCACAAATGCTACAAGCTTTGAAAGTTCTTTTCCAGACATCAAGTGGCTAGCATGAGTCTCTAAAATATTCTTGACAGAAGCAATGTGTGGACTAAGGTCTTTAAATGATGTGCTGCTCCAATGAGAAATAGACAAGAGATAAATCTTTTGGAGGTTATTTAAGAATAGAAGTGGAAAAAGTCCAAGATTGATACAAGCATACCTTTTCAAGTCAGATGACTGCCTACGATATGGAGAACGAAAAAGAAAATAACCCAAAATTCTAGGAGAGAGTTTGTCAGACTCTGTAGTAGCATTTTCATACTCCCTTCCAGATCTAAGCAAGAATCGTACCTAAGTCATCAGATTGTGTAAGTATCCTATGGAAGACCTAAGCACCGACAACTGAAAATAAATATACAATCTGTACCAGCTCCCCAGCAAGTTCGTACAAGGACTCGTCAAGTGTTGCCTGCAAGATCACAAAATGATTAAAAAAATTCAACAATTTAATGCAAGGTAACATAAGTCCTAACTAATAATGAACAAAGTTCTTAAAAATATATAACTATCTTACTTGTAATAGGCGTAGGGCACAGTACTGGCTCACCGCTGGACCTTCTAACTTAGCAATAACCTATACAATCATAACTTAATTAAATTAAAACTCTGAGTGCCATTTTAACATTTGAAAAATCTCAAAAATTTCTCTCCTATGCTTTAATTTGATGACGAGTTCACAAAAGACAGACATGTTTCACTTGTTTTGAACACTAGAAGTACTTCAGCCTCATATGGAATCAAAATAGGGAAGCTTGAGATCAAATTTCAGCAGACATATGATCCAACACTCAAATGCAAATTCCATGAAGGAAAATGTTTTCCTTTAATCAACAAATGTACAATACTGCAAACCAGATATGAAATTGAAAGAAGACAGATAAATCATACTTAAGAACTATTACCAATATGTAGCAAGCAGCTGTCCTGTACCATCTGCGTTGGAAACATTCCTCAAACAACCTTGACATATGATACAGAAGTCATTAAAAATCGGACTTAAATTGGATAAGAGAAAAGAATTTTCAGCTACATATTAAACTTGAGTGTTCCCATTGATCCAGGAAGAACACAACATTCAATAATTAAGTTACAACATATAAATATTTCAAACTTCCTGTGGATTTAAGCTTGAAAGATCAAAATTCTTCCAAATCAAAATTTGGATGCAACACGAACTCGTATTGACAAAAATACAACTAATGAAAATTTTCTTTAAGTTTCACCCATCAAATAAGTACAACCCTCTTACATGATACACACAACTAAATTTGCTTTAAATCATCTGCAGTTGTTCACAAGGCATGAGATAAGGATATAATTTGACTTCTGTCCATATAAGAAATGGTGCCACAAAACACAGAATAAATACAAAAGGTCAAAGCTTTAGGTTCATTTGGCATTGCACAGAAGGATTGCCATGTAAGTCAACATGG